GCTCCCTTACCGCAATTGAAACCGCCTTCGGCTACGGGAACCAAATGAAGTTTAATTTCTTCATCATAGCCTTTCTGCTCTGCACAGCCAGCACTTGAGAGCGCATATTTCAGACAAAAAAAAAGCAAAATTTATAGCCTTCCGTTAAAAGCATCACTGTCAGGTGAAAATGAGAAATGACCCCTCGGTGTAAAGGAAGAAATACATCAGAAGTATTCTGCGCTGCCACAAAAGACAACTGATTCCAATGCAATTATTTCTTTTTTTCCTCAAAAAAAAAAAAACATATGTACATGTACCTTAGCAACAATCTTACTCACACAAGCGGAAAAACGAAGTGCAAGCGAAAATAAAAAATACTGAGCCTTTCACAGAGAACGGTGAAATTTACAACACACGAGTATCTGCAGGTTTACAAGAAATGATCGCGACTGAAAAATTCTTCGCAAGCAAAAGGAACAACAGGAGCACCATAGGACAATTTTGTGCGCACCAATCTCCGCCGACCACTTCAACGCTTAAATTCAAAGCATGCGCATAAATGCATTGTCCAGTACCGCGTTCGTCCAAAACTTTGCGGAATTCTCCCTTAAATTCCTAGAGGAGACTTGCCGCTGCATTCACTGGATATCGATGGATCCTAGAAAAAATCACTGCTCACCAAGTCAACTAGCACCGCTGTGCATTTCTGTGTTGTTTAGAAGGCGCAGTGAATAAATGCAATAGCACAAGCACAACGTATTTGTTCCAGCTGCCACAATTCCCTGCTCAGATGGGAGTTACAAGTGCTTGCTCGCCTCTCGGATTCTAACAGCAACGTAAATTTAAACAGAGAAGCGAAGGCGCCGTGAAAGCTCTTGACTGGTCATTAGTCATATGTTACGCAATGAAGCCTGTAAGATTTCAGACGCGCAATTCGTGTTTTCCAAAATTATAACATCAGCCTAAATGTGGTCTAATGGTTACAGGTCAGAAAACAAGTTAATTTCAGACTATTTCACCTCCCCTCCTCCTGTCCCACCAATGTATCCAAAACAAAGACTTCAGCTTCGCTTCGTAGCTTTGCATGTGCCCCAGTGACATTCAGTGAATTCCAATTCAAAGCCCAAATCAGGAGACGAAAAAATCAAAAATAATGTGAATATTGTCGACCCAAAAATGCTCAAGACTATTGTTTCCCAAATCCCAGCTTTCTGACTTATTCATTTCCAGAAATCAACTAACCGACCGCGGTACTTTCAAACACGCAAAATCAAAGCACATACTGGCATGCTGTTGTTCCCGAATAAACAACAAATTTCTTTGAAAAGGAACATTTCAAAATTACATCAGCCGCCTGCCCACTCAGTTTGCCCCTTTGCCTCGTAATGCCTTAAAGTCACATAAAATGCGAATGCAATCCACAAGACAAGAAGACAAAAAAGCGTGAAGCACTGTGGAAATTTTACAGAAAAGCCAAACACACACAAGCACACCATATGTACACAGACATATATACAC